GATAGGTGGTAAAATAGTTATCTTCTATACTTGACGGGAGAGGTGGTTAGGTTTGCTGATTTACTAACTATAGAATGCAAAGTGATTTATTTGATTTTTTAACATCCCAAAAGACAATAAATAAAAACCATTGGTCTTCTATCTCTCTTGGAATTTAGCAGGATAACTTGTAAACTCCCATTTCTCCGTTACGAAAAAGGAGGGAGACTAGACTAGGCCAGTTAAAAGGGAAGGAAAACATTAATGCCTTTCAAAGTGCATTTTTCGTTCCATCGTCTAAGGAGAATTTTCGGGCTTCTGAGGGATGAGAATTGGTGGTATCTGGTTGGCTGATGGCCGTAGCTATGAGTAGTATTAAGTTACCCAAGGGTCTGAACTTTGAAGTGCTTGGGATGCGGGAACCAGGAAGTCCTTGAATTAGATTCCTGAACTTGTATTTCCTCGGGAAGAGAGGTACATCAACAAACCCTGATCATTCAGCAATTAGATCAGTAGGGTGCGAAGAGTGACGAATGGAATTAATTGATTGGAAGTGCAAAGTGCAAAGATCATTCAGACTCTGGCGTGAAGGGAATGTCTGCGCAGACTGGCTTTGCCAAGGAAAGCCTTTCTAGTGGTATCGAACATGGAAGCAAGTGTTTCTACTGCCTTCTCTTCCACATCATCTCTCTCGTAGTCATAGCTCATAGTGGGGTTGCTGCAGCTTCCCGGGCTCTTTTGTATCTTAGTATTAGTAGCTAGTAGGGCCATGTGGCCGTCCATAGGATCTAAAAGGGAAAATTGAATTTTCCAATAAACAAAGGACAAAATTAACCAAAAAAAAAAAAACACGCACACACCAAAAAATGAAGGGGGATTGGAAAGCTCAGCAGCGCCGCCTTTTCATCCGAAATATCGGAAGAAGCGACAGACCCTACTGTCGCATTGGGCGCAGCATTCATCACGGCTACCAACCTCCTATGCACCAGCCGGGAATCGAACCCGGGTCTGTACCGTGGCAGGGTACTATTCTACCACTAGACCACTGGTGCTTTTGAGGAGGCGGTCCTTCCTTTCCCTTTTCTTACGACCAGACATTGGGAGCAGAAGAGCGACAACCTTCTCTGTTTTTTCCCATTCCGTGGTCTGGACCTTGATAAATTTTGAGTATGCACTTTTCGTAGTGTTTTGAGGCCCATGAGTGGAGGATGCATTTGCAACCTTCAAACTATCTGATCTTAGCGTCACATAATAGCATAGTTAGAAAAATTGGATAATTTCAGAAATCTCTCACAAGATTTCTGACTATTTCAGATTTTAAAAATTATACTAACCTCCCTTGGTTTTTATTATTTTGTAACATTTAAGTCCAACCAACAATTAAAAAGTGACATTAGAAAAGGGAAAATAATATGATTTCCACCATTGCCTTTCATCTACTAAATTATTTAATTAATCTAATACCCACCCAAAATATTAAAGAAAATACTAGAATTTGTTGTTTATCATCAAGAGATTAAATCACATATGGCATAAAAAATACTACATCTATAATTTTATTTAATATAAGATCTAAATTGTTCTTTTCAGTTATGAACTTATCGTCAAACATGATAAACAACAAAAAATCAAAAAATTTGTAACCAAAATAATGGACTATTACAAAGAGCGAATTTTAGTACCATAAAATTCTTAACAACTAACCTTAATATGTTCATAAGAATATTTATGATGTTAAAGCTTGTTTTCTGTAATATTTTGGTTGCAAATGTTTTGATTATTTATTGTTGATAATGTTTGACCATAGGTATGTAAATGAAAATAATAATTTGGATCTTGTATTAAGTGAAAAATATAACATGATACACTATTTTTTGATATACTATATGTGATTTGATCCGTAATGATAAACAACAAATTCTAGTGTTTTTCTTTAATGTCTGGGTTGGTATTAAATAAATTAAATAATGTAGTAGATGACGGATAATAATGGAATCATATTATCTTTTCTCTCATAATATTAATTTTTAATTATCGATTGGGCCTAAATGTTACAAGATAATTAATCTCAGGACAGGTTAGTGTAATTTTTGAAAATTGGAGGGAGGCCAAGGAAATAGTCAGAAACTTTAGGGGAGGTTTCTCAAATTATCCCTAGTAAAATATGGGATTGGCATAATACAATATATTATATGTATCATGCATATTATGTAGAATTTTTTTATACCAATTTTAACTTCTATTCTTTTGTATGAGCTGTTAAATTTATTAAAATTTCATCAGTTTATAACTTATATATATATATATATATATATATATATATATATAAATCTAGAGATCATGTTATATGTAGTTCTTATTTTGTATATAAACAAGAAGACAAGTCATTGTTCTCACTCAAATTTTAGAATTTTTTTCATGCATAATAGTTGCAAAGTTAATTATTTTTTCTATTCAAAATAAGGATTAGATTAACACATAATCCACCTATCCCAAATTAATGTTTCAAACTTTAATTCACTGCCTCTAAAACTATGACTGATTTATTCGCTTGAAATCCTCCCTTAATCCTTCCTTGATCATGTAATCTATAAAAGCAATCTAAAATTTAAAATAAGCAAATCCTCAACTTTTGAGAATCACTAGGGATTTGAATAGGTCAAACCCTCACTGTCAATTACAATAGCCATCCATATAAACCAGCTTCCATTTAATATGATATGATACGATGGCTATCCGCATAAAGCCAGGTAACTAGCACTATCCCACTAACATACCTATGCATTTAAGCTTCAGCCAAAAAGACCCCGCAAATGAAGTAGTGATCTGAAGGCACAACCAAGTAGAAATTTGGGATGAAAAAAACACATCTTTATCGCTTTATTATTAATTGAGTATATTCATAGTTAATCTCCCAACTCATGCTCAAACCTAACAAAACATACTCAATTTGGATGGACTGAGCATCATTGAAATCTTGTATTCATTCTGGAAGTGGCAAACTCCACTCCACAACCATTGCAGATAACTATTTTGAATTTTCAAAAGAGCAGTATCAAACTCTGGAAGAGATTAAAATGTTAAGTCATACTTAACCAATTATGTACAATTTGTCAGTCCAACCCTTGCCAGGTGGGAAAAATTGGAAAAGAAAGGAAAATCACCACTATTTGACTCTATGACCAAACTGGAATACCAGTTACGACTCCTTCGCCGTTGGAAACCTGCTGACCTCCCACGGCAATCCCAGACCACGGACGCGAGCAACCAGCGGAGTGGCTGCTGCAACCGCCGCCATACGCATTCCTGACACTCGACGAACTCTTAACCCTAACGGAAAGATTAAGAATCCCATTCCTTTCACCGTGACAATCCCACAACCTGTAACTCAAAAAGTGCAGATAATTCTCGGGAACATAGTCTCCCAAGAAATCAGAAGCCGGGATCACTGCCGTCCCAACAATTCTGCTTCCGGCAGCAGTCTTGCATCGAACTTCCGCCGTGAAATAACGTGCATGCATGGGCATGTCCATCACGAACTTCTCATCCCATGCAGGATAGCCGCCTCCATCTTTATCCATCTTTGTCGTTTGCTCCTTAAACGAGTCGGTTTTGATGGTCACGAAGGCGTTTTTCTTGACGGGTTGCTTTCGATTTATACGTAGATCCTCTCCAGAAATCACCGTAATCTCCAAAACCCGCAAATCATTCGAACTCCCCATGATTGTTAACTTATTTTTTTCCCCCCTCCCCTGTGGATTCTTTTATCAAGAGATCAAGGAAGGTTTGGATGGAAGCTTGAGAGAATAAATGTAGTGCGATATATATAGGAGGGGTAGAGGAAGATCGGAAGAAAAGAGAGAGAAAGGAGGAGGCTGTTTCTGTAGATAAGAAGTATGGGTTTCGTGGAAAGTGTGAGGAAATAAGTGGGTATCAGGATGCTATAAGATGGTGTACTATACGCAGATATTGTTGTATGTTGAAAAAGTCATGAGTTGGACTGACCGATGCAGCACAATCCGATTTGGAAAGGTCCAAATACATTCCAATAGTGAAGTGGGCCGGCAGCAGCGGAGACAAAATCAAATGTGTTTGGAAGTTTCATTGTCACGTGACCCAAACATTCAAATTTGGCTGTGGTTCTTCTTTTATTTTACCGGATAAATTCAATCAATTTGTCGTAACTCGAAATTGCATAGGCTTCTCTTTGCAAGTATATTGTCACCACACGATAGTGTATTGCTCTCGTCGTAGTCCCCGGAGCCCACGCACGTTTTATTATCCAACTAATTAACCTTTTTCTTCCTCTGATTTTTCCTCCATTATCTACAGAGATGAAGTAAAAAGAATTGGCAAACTACGTGCCAACAATAAGCTAATAAAGTTTTGATGTTTTAAAGTCCTTCATATACCCTTTTTTTTTTTTGGTAAAATCAAAATGATGTCTCTAATCACCTTCAAACTCTATTCGTCACGCTGGATCCAATCACCATTGATCTTCTAATGCCTTTCTATTAATACACAGAAAAGGGGGGAAAAAAAAAGAAAGAGAGAGAGAGAGAGAGAGGAGTATTGTGGTTGGCTGCCTCCATGATCTCTTTCATTCCTTTTTTTTTTTTTTTTGTCTTTTTGGAGTCAAGAAAGAGTTCCAATAAAACATTGGGTTAATTCCATTTTATCTCTCCAAACTTTGGACGATTATCCACTTCAATCCCTAAATTTCAAAATGGAACACTTAAGTTCCTAAACTTATAAATACCTCCCACTTAAGTTCCTAAACTTATAAAATGGGACACTTAAATCCCTAAACCCTTATAAAATGAGACACTTCGACCACCAACGACATTCAGGATTTGTTAACAATTTTCCTTAAGTGGGAAGTGTTATAAGTTTAGAGACTTAAGTGTCCCATTTTGAAGTTTAGTGATTGAAGTGGGTAATCGTCCAAAGTTTGGGGGGATAAAGTGGAATTAACATTTCATAATCTCTTTCTTCTTTTCTTTCTCTGTTGTGGGTCAAGGTCAAACTTCTGAATGGCAACCTTTTTTGTCCTTTTCAACTTCCTTCGCGTTGGTAAAATTTCCAAGCGTGTGCGCCTTCAACAAAAACCACATATTCATTGCTCCAAAGTTTAATTTGTCAGTCACCAGATGAAAAACATGTTTCTCAGGTTCCTGCAATTTAAAGCAACAGCATATTAGAGATCTTCAAAGTTGCAGATCAAAACTAGACTTGCAAGCATACACCCAGCTGAAAAGTATAGTTCTGTTCAACCCACATCTTTGATGACCATGACCAATTTCAAACAGTATCAAATAATGACAACTGAAACAATACAAAATATCTCACTTAAACAAACCCCAACTTCACAAATCAGAAAATGGGCCACCATGCCTAATGCCTATTGAGCATTCCATTACATACTTAATTAGCATTATGCTCTATTGTAGTAGTGGTTAAAAATTTTCGATGCCTCAAAAAAGAAAGCACAAAACAGAACGAAACAGTATTTTCACAATTTCTTGCTACTATATTCAAGTTGGAACAATAGTATAAAGTTCTATTAAAAAGAAGCACAGGCACCTTAGCATTCATGATGGTTGAGTTAACAACAACTGAGGCAGCAAGAACATTATCAGAGAAGAGGGCATAATGGTAAAGGTTTGGATTTTCTAGATTCTCGCTTCTAGGGAAGATCCTTTTTTCTGGTGAAAGCATATGATAATCAATTGTTAACCGCAGTGACAAGCAGTGGATTCCATTTGGAATGGTCTTGGCAGCCAACTGGCTTAGAAAGGTGCTCTGCTTCTTCAAACTGCGGACTTGTTCATCTGCAGATTGTAGCATTGCTCTAAGCTTCCCAGTCACTAGCTTACAATCATACAGTTGTTCTCTAGCTTTTGATAGCACTTGGCCCATAGCTTTGATCTTTTCAGCCGCACTGTTTCACATGACATAAACACTAGAATAATCAATATACTGGATAGGGCAGGAAGCAGACAACATGATAGCACAAAGTACCTATGGTGAAGATCGGAATCAGTGGTAGCCTCTCCTAATGCACGCTGACTTTCTTTGAGCCGATTTTGTAGCTCTCGGCCCAAGTCCGGCTTGTCCTTCATCGTTGCAAGACTTATGTACACCCTAGCCATAATCATTTGGTCACGCATCAAGCAAACAGTCGAATCAGCATTCTCATTCTCATTCTCTTTCCTCCAAATACTGTATTTGCCCAACACTGCAGAGTCAACAGACTTTGACCGTTCTATGGCTGCATTTTCAAGCTTCACAGTTACTTCTTCATCTTGTTTTACCAAGTCAGCAGCACGTTTTTCACGCCGTTTCTGTCTCAGTTGCTGCAGAATGATTAAAATGCGAAGTAAGACTTGAAGGCTGAATCTTAAGGGAATAGAGAAAAGGTTAAATCAACAGAAGAAGAATGTAGTTCAACGCTGGATATTCCGCAAAGTCAACAGTCACAAGCTGGCACCACCCTGCTATAAATCATCAAAAGCAGAATATATATGAAACCGTAAACTCACCCTTCTTGCTACTTTAGCAGGTGCATCAATAACTTGAGATCGATCCTCTGCATCAGACAAGCATATGTTGACAGTGAAGTCAATACAATTGCAAACAAGCAACTATGAAGCCAGAAAGTATCCAGAAAAGCCATACCTTCTAAAGAGGCATCAACCTTATTTCTAGAAATATCATGTTTAATAGCCGCACCTCTTTGATTGTTCTGGAGAACAATCACATATCCAAAAAACATGAATCAGAATATAAGTAAAAATTAATCACAATATACGTCTAAGTGATTTGCTAATAAAAAATAATCAAAGATGGGAATAAGAAGTCAGTCTATGTGAAAACAAATCTTTCATCCTGACCTCAAAAGACAAAGCACTATTCTCAGCAGGAGTTTCTTGTCCAACGAATTTCCATGATGCAGACAGGTTGGTTTTCCTGAAAGAATCAAGACTTAGCGGCCCTAAATCATTTGTGTTGGCTTTAATGACATCCATCACCTAAAATATGTGGTTGAAAAATATATCAGACAATATTTAACTTAAGATTACAAAAAACCAAAGCAAATAGGGTAAGTATCATGAATTAAGTATGTGCCTCTCTTGTAAGTAGAGATTTAACATGTTGCAATGCCAGCCTCTCTCTCCAATCAAGATCCTGCAGAAAGGAACCTTGTAGTCATCAGAAGATACACATCCTAGAATCAGTGTAAAAAGCATCTGGAGATGAAAGATACCTGATTTCTAGAACTAGTTGAGATTTTGTCTTGATCTGCAGAAAAAGAAAATTAGCTTGTTCAATTGAGGCAACAAGCAGCAGAAACTCAGCACAACGGAGATGCAGACAGATGCTCTTAATTCAAAAGGAATAAACTGTCTCAGACTCTCAATAAAGACCAACATTAGTAATAAACCCCATATACAATCTAATTAGAATACATGCAATCAATTAATTTTAATGATGTGCATATTTTGTACATAAATATAGATCAGGTTTCATCAAATTTCACTGCAAAAACAAACTCCACTCATAGTTTAGCTTATTTTGGAACTTCACACCAACTCCATCTCAGTCACTAACTACGGCACCGGTTACTGGAAAGGGAGTATTAATGTTCTACAATGAGTTTCGTGAAAATGTAGTGGTAATGCATTTACTGAATTTTTACATCAAAAGGCAATTCAATAAAGTCCTTGCAACTTAGCATTTCACCAAATTCAACTTGCTATCTTTTAGTGTAAGTTTTATATGACACCACATTTTATACTTTTCGTCATATACTGGAAATATTGACTTCACTATATGACTATTAGCATGCCACAGAAGTGTTGTCTCCTTTTAATATCTGACACTGCAAATATATGTAAAACCCCGATAATTAGGCTAAGGAAACTAGAATGTTGGATGAGACGAATAATAAACTATTCCTCTTTCTCATTGCATAAGTAGACAAATACCAATATGTCAAAAGGGCCAAGAAAAGCTAAAAAACATTTGTGGATCAATTGAGTACTTGAGAAAAGTGATTAAACTCAATATCTCCTTACAACACTAATGTAAAGAGAAAAGCATCAAAATAAGTTCTCAATGAATTTTGGTTTCTCATAAAATTGACCTTGCATCATGAAACCACCAACAAAAACATTCAAAATGACATTGTGTTTAACCGCTTTACTGGTAACAACGATGTACATCAGTGCAATCCCAATTAAATGAACAATTGAAAAGGCAACAATAGACCATTAATCTTTCTATCTACCTTAACAGTCAACCTTTTATGTCTTCTTTCTTAAGTCTAATATGCCCACTAAAATTAATCTAAGAAACCCCCAAGCTGCTCTTCCTTCATCCAACTCTACTACAGGCACATTCTATCTCTGCCCAAAACATTTCCAGTGAAATATCCTTTTAAAGTGTTTTAGTCACCGATGAAGAATTGGTTTGAATTAGAAGATCTCTAAATAAGTATGTTACTTCAATCTTCACACAAAAATATATCACCAAAAAATATAGGACGCGGACACAGGACAACCTGAGTTAGTAACGTTGAAGTAATTATTACCACTCCTCCTGAGAATCCAAAAGCCTTTAATTACACACTTCTTTGGTTCAACTTAGATAGGAATTTGGACTAATTACTTCTGATTTCTTTATTTCCTGCTTACACCATTGAACTTAATCTGTTTCCATTTCAGAAAAACATCCAAAAAAAAATCAGTATCTGAAAAGAAGTCAAGCCCAACACCTCTGTCACATAAACCACGATCTATCAAGTGAATAGATAAATACTTCTGCTCTCGAATGAATAGAATCACCCGCAATTCCAACATTTAAATACCAAGATCCAACACAATTCCTACAACATCATGTCATAAACTACCAATTGCGCATATGCACCGGATTCCTCCATAACCAAAAATACACACCTAGATGTCGTTGTACAAATTGCATTACCCTAACACATTTTTTCTAAAAAAAAAAAAGAAAATAAAAGAAAAAAATAGTATGAGATAAAGAAAGTATAAAAACTGACCGGTTGAGCTGGTATAAAAGATTCCGCGGCCAACCAAGAAGAGGAAGGAGGGAGAGACAACTAAGCAAAAAATGAGGATTGCGGCCCCGGGGAGCCGAGATCCATAGCCACCGCCTTTGCTGCTCTTCCCGGCCACCGTTATTCCCCTTTTATTAGTCCCCATTTACTATTTCCGCACTCCTCCCAATCTTCCTCAAATAACAATGAAAACCATAAGATTGATAACCTAATACAACAAAACCCTCGCCCCAGTTAAAAATCACATTCCTTCATTACACATTCCTATATGTATAAAAAGCTGCAGATTGATTGATTTATACGTATCTTGATTTAGTAAGATGAGAAAAAAAAATTGAGGAACTTTTATGGGAAAACAAACGAATAAATTCGGTGGGTTTTTGCGGGAAACAGAAATAGTAGAAGAAGACTGGAACTGTAAAAGATTACGTAAGACCAAGAAACAGAAGAACAAGAAGAAGAACGATCTCAGATTCGTCGGAGGATGGGACTTCGATTTTTTTTATTTTTTTTTTTTTGTTTGCCCTTTTCAACGTTTCTTTTCCAGTGCGTCCTACTCCTTAATTTGGAAATATTACATAATACGACGTCGCGAAGGGCCGCCGACACACTCGTCATGGTAGTGTCTATTACTGTGAGTGAAAAAAAAAAAGCGAAAAAGAAAATGTACGGAGAGTTGTGTGATAAACGTGTCATCCATTCTCAAAGACGTCACTTTATTGATTTCTTTTTTTTTTTTTTTGAATGCTTACTTTATTGATTTCTTAATCTTTGTTTATCCAACTTTACTTTGATTATTCATAATTACAGCGCAAACTAATTTTGTTTGAATTGTACTTGACTACTTTTAATGTTTTCCGGAAATTGGTATGCCTCACTCACGTATTTAGAAAAGTTCATTTCCTGCACGTTTAGTTTAAGAAGAAAGATATAAAATATGATTAGGACTAAGAGAATTAAGTGATGAAGCTGAAAACCAAGTATAGCTACTCTTTAGTGATTTCGCTTTGCGTTGCGTAGTATAACAAAATGGTGTTAGTTTAATACGAGTAGTTATTTGAAGGTTTGCCCCAAGTATCTTTAACATTTTTTCTATCCGGTATGTATAGTTTAATAACTTTCTTTTTGTCGAGGCATGTTTGATAAAATTTTGAAAATTGAATACATTATGTTAATGAGTTGTTAAGTATTAAAATTTTAATATTTGAGCATGTTTTACATTAAATGATAAGTGAATCCATTAAATTATGAAATATGAAAACTGAATCCATTAAATTATTGAATTGTTATGTACTAAATTTGATACACTTGAATATGCATCGCATTAAGTGATAAGTGAATAATTTATCACTTATTTTTTTGGGGCAAGTTTTGTCTCGAAGATTCAGTGTCATTTATTTAATTTATATGTTCATCTTTTGTTAGAGGAAACTTTCTCGACAGCCCCTAAACTATTGCCTTTGCACGATTTTGGCTCCTTAACTATAAATTGTCGCAAATAAGTTGTTGAACCAAAAAAAAAAAAAATTAGTTTAAGGACTTCCATCAATTTTGGCCATTAAAGGTGACAAAGTTAGGGGCAAAACTAACCAAACAAAAAAATCAACTCACAAAAAGAGCCTAAAAAGGCCTCATTGACTAATTATTTCATCATATTAGCGTTAAAGAAGGTGGAAGACGATAGAAGAGAACAAAAATTGAACTCCATGTTATTAGTTGACTCAATATAATCAGTGTTTAATCAAATCCTGGGTTGATTTTTCTGTTTAGTCGTTTTTGCCCCAAATTCCGTTACATTTAACTCCAAAATTAACGCAAATCCTTAAATTAAGCTTTTTTTTGTTCAAAGGCTTATTTGTAATAATTTATAATTGATCTGTCAAAACTATACAAAGTGAATAATTTAAGGGCTTGCCAGAAAGTTTTCTCCTTTTGTTATCAAACGCTTTTGAATTGTTAAGATCTAAATCCAATAAATTTAAGTGTTAAATTCAATTATCAAATAGAGCCTTAATTAATTCAAATATTTTATTTTTGATTATCAAATACATCTGAATACGACACATTAAGTGTTGATATGACTCCTTAATTTAAACTAGCAATAATAATTGAATAAAATAAACCTTATGATTTTGACATCCGTAGACGTTTCAACCCGCTTCATTGTCATTCTTTTAAATATTAAATTGATTTCACGGTCCTTACTTATCCTTTCAAGGAAGAAATCAGAATTAAATTACTAACCCCGAATCCCAGGTGTTTACCTCAAAAGCCGGCCTGTCCTTGCTTAGCCTAGGTTACAAAAAATTGTCATTCCATATGTACTTCTAATAACTTCTTGTATGTTTGTAAAACGTCTTGTAATGTTCTACTATGTATTAATACACATAATATGCCATGATGACCTTTTGACCCCCAAAAAAAAATACAACAGAAGAAATATGCCTCTTACGGTTCTCTCCAGGTAGTACCAATAAAAAACTATCAGTAGAAGAAATTAGGACCGACAAGAAACACACGCGACAAGAGTGAGAGTGCATAAAATATCAATGATTACTCCACGTTTTAAGGCTACAAGGTTCTGTTTATGCTGCATAGCACAGGCACGAGCTAACATTGCCCCAAACCAGACATTGGACAACATGCATAGACTTTGTGAGATATATATAGGCATCCATTTTATCAAAACAATCTTCCCAAATCTTAACTCCAGAAAATTGGATCCATTACTGCAAAAGTATAGCCACATCCAAGTAATCTCCTATCTGCAGATGAAAAACAGTCCAGTAAAGAAGCTTTCAACTACAGCAGAAACTATGCATCCTTGCAGGACATCATTTACCTGAAATTTAAGTTCACCTAAGGCCCTGCTGCCATCGTCTGCCCGCCTGGCATTTGGGTACGAATAGGTTCTGCCCACCTTCAACACAAGAAGCAAGGAGCACAATTTAGAAGTAAACATGGTAGAGCATAGATAACTGTGACTACAAGCCGTTTGGTTGTTTACGTGCATATATAACTGTGATAGCATGGGCACAACAATCCTGGCATAGTATGCTGCATCTCTTGAACAGAAAAGGTTGGACAGACACAGCCCGCATCAAATTGAACAATAACAGTATCGAATTCGAGAAAACACATCTTAATCACGTTCAGATTACTTCAGTAAAGATCAGCGCTGACCTAGTTTTGTCCAACAGATTACAATTATGGCAATCATATTAATAGCTTCCATGTTTTGACAGGAAAATTGCAGGATAACTTAACCATCTGAGTCAAATACATGAATTGCAACCTGAACCATCTGAGCTAAAACATGAACCAAATGCTCAAAAGACCAGCACCAACAAAAAATTTGGAAGTAATGCAGTACAATTATCAGCTCGCAAATTAAAAAAGAAGCCTCGCCAAGTATGAGGCCAATGAGAATTCCAATTTTGTCTGTTAATAAGTGCAAACAGGAAACAAATGCTGCAGTCTACTGACCATTTGACTTGCAAACACTCTGACAAGCAGCAAATTACATGATGACACCCAATCTTTGAAGTAACTTTTAACCATTAGAAAAACAGAAGTGGTTCAAACCAAAAGGAACAAGTATGAATCAAATAAAGTTTCAAAGGCAGCAGAATGTTAAAGACCATTTGGCAGACAAACATTAAGAACTCAAACCCCTTTAGTTACTCTAAATTCCATGGGCTATACAAGAATGAGAGAGAGAGAGAACAGGATACCTCACGAACAACAAAGCGACCACGGCTATTAGGAAACACAAAAGCAAATGACAGCGTTGCATCTCTTCTTCTTGCTTCGGGTGCTACTTCTTTTACCTAGAAAACAATTGTAGTCAACAAAAGGACATGGGAAGGAATTATGCCTTCACGTAGTATAAAGAAAGTCAAGTATTCTTGTACCAGATCTGTCAATTCCCGCAGAGTTGCGTCCATCCATGTATAGATTTGAACCTCATCCTTGGGTTCCTTCCCTCTCACAGCAAAATCCACCTCGTTATGATGTCCTCCAATCTGTAGATGTCAACATTGAATTGAAGCTTACGTATTCCATGGCCATAAGCAAACAATGGTACAACTCAGGTGCAACTGTTCTAGACCCTAAAATGGAGACTTCACATATTTTAGCATTCTCTCTTCTTTTTATTTACATTTTCCTTTTCTTCACCATTAAACAACAGCAAAAAGAACCTAGAAGATAAGTCTGCCTCCTCTGCAACAGCTTATCTGACTTCCAAAGGTCAATATTTCCCCAACCAAAACCATTTTCAGACAAATAGCTTTAGGTTTGTTAACTAGATTCATAGGACCCAAAGTCAGTGATTTATACATAAAAGAATTCTATCCAAACAATTGTATCACTAGTTATTGGAACATTCTTAACCAGATTATAAACTGAGATCACAATGAACCATATATGGAGTAGAAGAATGTCTTATTTTTGTATAACTTTTATGCATCAATGAATTACTTGTCTACATAATTTTTTCATCGATAATACTCTAAGCCTTAAAGTAATTCCCACCATAAACTCTTATTTGGTATAAAAAGTTTGTTATTTAACATTCATTTAGTATGCTCCACAGCAATCATTACATTTGGATCATAGCTCACAAATTGCTTTTCAATAGTGTAAATATAACCACTCAGCTAAAGAACTCATTAAAAAAAACCACTTTAAAATGAGTGAAAGGGACTTCTTGACAAGGAAAGAATATACATACATGAAAAGAACTGCCAAGGAAATGTCTATATTCAACCTATATCCGCTTCTTTTGAATAGATGATTTCAAACTCAAAACATTTTTCCCTGCTTATCTTTCTTCCCTGAAGACTCATTTTCATTTCTAATCCAGGATCTTCCTTTTCTTCAGCTTAGACATAACCTTCTTACTTTATCTTCGTAAATTCTTGCAGTTAATACTTTATCCTGTTAAATTCTTGCAAAAATATGACGTAATACATAGATAAGATTTAACAACAGGCCACCAAATTTGGCTCTAAAAGCAGAGGAAGCAATAAAGATACTAAGAGTAGCAATACTCAAAAGACCATAGGGTATCTGTCCAATAGGAAACTCTTAACTAAGTGAAGCACACATGACAAATTCTCACAAATGCAAAGGAATGGCAAAAACCTTATAATTTCAACCAATTTTTAGTTTTTATGATGCCAATGAAATATTACATGCACAAGCATCTCTTTGATTTCCTTTTTCTTGAGATTGAAAAGTTCCATACACCATGGCTCCCAAGATATGATTTTCCAAGTACATTAGTTCATTACAAGAGAAAGCGAGCAGCAAGTAATTGCTAACTGATTACTGCTTTATACAGGAACCAACTGTTTGAACAAGAATGCTAAGAACACCTAGACCAAATAAAAAAGATAAAAAAAAAAGGGTACACATTATAAAAAAAGAAAAAATGAAATGCAAACAAAAATGTTGAGAGTCAAAAGCATACCTTGGTGAAAACACGAAGCAGTAAAGGACATGTCTGGGCACAAAAGAAATATTAATC